ATACTTAGAGATAAAATTAAATTAGAAATAAAGCAACAATGAACAAAGCAACTAACAGATTAATCTGGGGCTATTTTGATATTAATGAAAATAATCAACATAAACAACATTGCCAACAATAATCATCAAATAAACAACACAATATCGCATAATTTTAGGGGCTTTTTATTTTTATTGCTTAGTCGTTCTAAATAATAAGTAAATTTAGTTCAAGTTAATATTTCAATATTTACAGTTGCAATATAATAAAGAAATGATGTTTAATGTTGAACTTTTTATTTAATTATTTATTTTTTACCTATATTTGTTATAAAAAAACTTTTAAACCCCCATCATTAAAATAATTTGTTTTGAATATATTTCAAAGTGATTATTCAAACTAATTTTTTTCGCTTGACTTCCCGAAATTCATGCAAAACAAATTGAGACAAAATGTTATCTAACTAAATAAAAATGCTTTTACTAATTTTAAAAGGGTAATTAATGTAAGACAATTTTTTATCAGAGTCTTGATTGAGATAATAAATATTCATAATTTATAAACATTAAATATATAACGCAATAAAAATTTATAGCAACGAACCAGCATAAAATATTTGAGGTTTTTAATATCTTTTTAAATGTTAAAAATAGAAGAAAAAAAAAACTTAATAAATAACCAAAAAAAGTTTGAATAAAAATAAATAAAAATATTTCTAGAGTTTCATTTGTTAAAAGTCTACCGTGACGTCAAATACTAAAACTTTTATGAATTAAACGCGCTTCAAAGGAATCGCCAAAGTCTGTAGATTGCGACGTATAATTTAAAGACTCTGAGTTATTGAAAAAAATGGAGAAGGCGAGCTTTAACTAAAACAACAACATTAGTCTCGGTATTAGTTCTCGGTATGCATTCATTATTTTCTTTTAATCAAAAAAACTTGGTTCAAACCTTTTTTTTTAACATTATCTTCAATATGAACACAACATGTGTCGGGAGTTTGGGATCCCTTTAATTCTCTATTTTTGTTGAATTTACTATTTCCGCAAGTTAAACAAAAAATATATTTAAAAAATTTTTATCTATTTAAAAAATTTGTAAAACATCAGTGAAGTCAAACATGAGCTGAAACAATTTCACATCAGTGAAAGGAAATTAAGGTGAGACGATGATCTTTTCTAAGCTGAGATAATGATTGTTTCTAATTTTTGTGGTATATTGTAAGTGACCCCAAAATTTAGTTTTGTCTCAGGCCCCAAGAGATTTTGTAGCATCCCTGCTCTTGATTGCATCTAACAAAAAATAAGATAAAAGTTATAATAAAAATTTTTTTATTTACTATAAAACCTTATTTTACATTTTTAGGAGAATCTGCTCTGTTTGATCAGCTCGAAGTGGTAGATTAATCAGTATTTTAAATTAATCGATTAATGAATAACTTTCAAAAAATTAATCGATTAATCAATTAATTTCAATTAATTTTTACAAATAAATTATTCTATTGGTTTAAGACAAAGTTAAGGTTAACAATTTAATCCACAACATATCTAAAGCTAGGCTGTTCAACAAGCTATGCAAATTACAGTGTTCATAGATTTATGAAATAGAATTTATAAGTTGAATGAAAATAGAACATGTATGATAAATTGATAGGACAGTAGTAATTTTTTATTTTCGTTTTTCAGGTATTGGCAGGCTGTACTTGATGACTTACTTTCCTGCAACGAAATCAAAAGAAGGTTTAACTACAAACCAATTTAAAATAATTTTTATAGCAGCGTTTTCTAAAAAGAATTTTCCCTTTATTTTATTTACTAATTATTTTCTTTATATTTCATAATTGCTTTAAATTATTTTTAAAGATCGTTTAATTTTGGTGTTATACAAAGGTTTAAGTTTAAAAAATTATTTTACATATAGACTTTTTGTTGTTTAATAATTTTTATTCAGAAGTACAATTTTAATTGTAGTGTCCAATTTTTGTAATATTTTTTCTGCAAATATCAATTTGATATTATGTTATCAATGCAAAATTATAATCTCCAGATATAATTTAAAAAATGGTTGGGTAAGGTACATAAACTTACGCTTTGTTTTCTTATAAACAAAGTTAAAATTTGTAAGAAGATAATGTATGAGAATATTTTTATTTCATTTTTCAAAGGTGTAGCAAACATCATTGCAATATGAAATAATTTTTTGGGGGGTTTAAAAAAAAAAGGGGGGGCAGGATTTTATGGCGCCCTTTTGAAGGGGGTATAGGGAAAAAGGACAACCAGTGACAAAGAAAGGGGGAGGGGTCAAAAGTTGGTTAAAAAATGGTGACATCCTTTATGGATGGCAACTATGTTCGCTAGAACTATGATGCTAGAACTGTGAGAAATTTTAATAATTTTTTGTCTTATGTTTATTCATTTTGACGCCTTTTTGCTTTACAAATGTTTTTGCTTTATTTGACGTTTTTTCTCAATACTTGTATAATAAGAAAATAAATTTCTATTTATTTATATATTATTTATTTTTAAAATATATTATTTGATTAAAAAATTTTGTAATGGCGGAATAAATTAAATAAAAGAACAACATGGTTTCTTTTATATATGCATTTACCGCATTTGATACATGTCTGAAATTGTTTCTTTTCTATTGCTTAATTTTCAACATTAATATGAATTACTAGAAGTAACAAATATGACCATTGCTCTGTTTGAAAAAATGTACTTAAAATTTTTAAAAAAATTTCAAACAGGCTCCTAAAACTTTTGTCAAAAAAGTTCAGTAAATTAACAATGCACTAGCCCACAAGCTTTTAGAGCATCATCAATAACAATAGTTCATTAGGAAATAAACTATTGGGTTTAAATGTACAATTTGGATAATCCAATAAAAGTGCAGACTATTTCAATGGGGTATTGAAAACAATCAAATATTTTTTGTTTAAGTATAAATAATAATGACTTTTAATTTTTTTACATGAAAAACTTACAAATAAATAGCGATTAGTTTTCTTGCTTTACTGTGCATTGATAAAAACAGTAAAGTTTAGCAAAAACCTTTGAAAACAATTTTTAAAATTTTTGATGTTTCTAGCGCTAATAATAAAATATTTCCTTAATACTGACTGAAAAAAGTTGTGAAAAAATTGTATATCAATCAAATGTTTTTATTTTCATTACATTATTGCATGCGCTTCCCGGGAAAGCTTGATATATGTTGCTTATGTGTTCTGTTTGTTTTAGGTATACTTTAACACTAAAACTACAATTGACTGTGTGGTTATGTCTTTACATGTTTGGTTACTTTTTTTAGAGAATAATTGAATCTTTTATTGTATTATTATAATTGCCTAATCGTTCTTTAGCTTAGTTTTTTAATTGCAGATGAAAAAACTTTATTAGGAATATAATTTGGTAGTAAATGAGGTGTTTTTTAATCCATTGCCAATTGTTTTGTGCCTCTGTTAAATTATGGTTTTTCAGATTATTGATCAACTAATTAGTGAAAATAATAGATATTTTCAAATTCTCAAATCTAGTAAAAAGGCTTAATGCTTTATGATTTATTATAAAGGTATAGGTCTTTTATAGTGAATGGTGGCCATTTTTAAGCCTTGTTTTGGTAGTAAAGTTTTCTGCAACCAAATTTTTATGATACATGATATACCTTATAAGGCTAGGTTAAAAATGATCTTACCTTATGGCCATTTTTAACCTAGCCTTGTTTTGGTAGTAAAGTTTTCTGTAATTTTTATGACGCATGATAGTTTATAATACACAAGTTTTTAAAAAAAATACAAGTTTTAAAAAAATGTCTTTTTGCATTGTGTACTACACTTCATACTGCATATGTTTTTTTTTTATTCTTCACTTCCAACAAGGCTGCAAGCAACTACTAATTAGAGTTGGAAATTACTGGAAGAGAAAAGCTGACAGACGACTTAAAAGATTGCAAATTATATTTGCAATCTTTTAAGTCGTCTGTCAGTGAGTTTTTGGTGCACTTAGGAACAGTCACAGAAAAAGGATGAGACTTAATTTTAACAAAAAAACTCTCTATATATACCTTATAAAAATTTTTTATATGAAAAACAATAAAGTAAGGATAAAGCTAGATGAATAGTAAACAGAATGCTTTAATATATGATGAATATATACAAATAATTAATATATAATAATATGCATAAAGTAATAACTTCACTATCTAAAAATGGTTCATGTTTTAAAAATATAATGGGACTGTGACAAATTTCAAAATAAAACAAGCAACGTTTACACACTTCCTGATTTCTTGATACAAAAATATATATAGACTTATTTCTTTCTCAGGTATAAAAGAATGTAAATAAAAAAAACTTTGATACCTTTAAAAAAAATCATTAAATCATTACATGAATGAATCATAGATTCATTCATCTAGATCCAATCACATAGATTTTGAAATTGGATCGGAAGTGAAAAGTCATTTACAGGGTACAGTCACCATTTATTAGCGTATATATTGTGTAGCATTCTAGCATAATTAACTTTTTGCATAATTAACATAAATTCTTAATTTAAAAAACTTCTGACAATTTTTATACAGATATTTAATCTATATGTAGATAAAATTTTTATATATCAGAAATGTCATCATAATACTTCACATTTACTTTGTATCTTCTTTATGCTACTTTGTATCTACTGTATGCTACTTTACATCTGCTTTATACATACTCATAACTTTGTATCTACTCATACTACTTCACGTCTACTTTTTATCTCTTTCAAATGTGTAAGTATAGTATTATGCTTTACAAAATTTTTCCAAAATATATGTGCCAATATATATGTAAAAGGGTGCATAGATGTTATGCTTGTATCCATATATTATGTAAAAGGGTGCATAGATTGAGCATGCACCATAAAAATATGTATTTACCAACATAAACTTTTCTCTTTATAAAATTTCCTTATAAATTTAAACTAGCAATTTGAACTATCATTTAAAATAAATATAAATTAAAGAAAAATAAATTATGCACCTGACTCTGTCCAGCTGTCTTTTTTATTTGTAGAACAGAACATTTTTGTAAATCCTCAATAATTGATTCTAATTTAGATATTTTTATTATATACTCATCTTCAACTTTAGAAATTTTAGCATTTAAATCTTCTTTTTCTTTTTGACAGTCATCGTACATCTTTGTTATCTAAAATAAAAAAAATAACTATGAACACAAAACTTAATGTTATAATTTTAAAATGCTTTTAGTTTTTATCAAGCAATTTAGTAAAAAAAGTAAAAAGAATTAAAAATTAAAATAAAAGAGTACAGTTAAAAAGTAAGTAAAAAAGTAAAGTAAAAAGAACTAAAAAAGTATAAATCATAAAACTTCACAAACTTAGTTTTTGTAATAAAAACCAGTTATTTTACAAACAAAAAATATTCAAACAATTTAATTTTAAATAATAATATTGTTAATAACTTTTATCAAAATGAACAAAATTTTACAACTTAGATCAAACCAAGTACAAACCAAGGGGGCTTCTAAAGTCAGGGAGGCTACTTTTTTTTATTTTTGTTACAACTCTCTCCTTACTCTATAACTCTGAAACATAAACCTTGAAAAACTATGTCGCTGCATTGAGAGAAAAAAGTTGAGCATAGTTACCACGGACATGTTAGTACTACCAGAGACATACAGATACTGTACAGGAACTTATAAAGTCAAAGCTCTACCACTACACCACTACTGCAAATTTGTTAAAACTAACGAATAAATTTGCTAAAACTAATGAACAAATGTGTTTAGATAGAAAAAAAAAATTTTATTCAATAAATAAAACAGAATCAATGTTAATATTGTTTAAATAAAAATAAATAAGATACAGAATGAAAAAAACTAATATTTTTAAATTAAAGAACGAAGTAAAAACCTTAACTTTAATTAGTTAAGGTTTTTACATTTTATTTAAATTAAATTGATTTATTAATACCACACTTTCCTAAGGAAAAAAGAAGATGCATATAAAACTCATAAAGACTTATTTAAAATATATCTACAAAGAATAACACTATGGAAGAAAAATATAAATTAACAATAACTGAACCTAATAAAAGATTGCTTTAAATTTTATTATTTGTTTGTTTGACCAAAAAAATTATGTTGTTCTTTTTAAAAAAATTACCAATGAGATTTCAATTTCCAATAAGTCAGCAATCTTGTTTAATGTCTATGTCTTATGTGGAAAGCTGAAAACATTATGAGAACACAAAAAATATATTTTGATATAAAAAAAGGAAAAAAAAAGTTAAAGGATTAAAAAATTAAATTAGTCATAAAATATTAACATTAAATTAATTAATGACTTCATTTGATAAGCATTTAAAATACAACACTTAATTGATTCAATTTTCGACTCAACTATCATGCCAAGACTTTGAACTATTTTAGGCAATATTTTTACTTTCTTGCAATTTAACTATGTCAATAATTAATAACTTAATTCTATAAGTAAGAACTCAAAACATGTTTAAATTCTTTCAGGTTAGGTTATCCTGCTACTGGTAACTTGTTACCCAGTACAACCTGTTTCATGTCCTGTTGCTTTGTAGAATGCACTTTTGTAGGCAAAGGCTAGGAGAAGCCAAATTCAAATTAAAACACCCCAGCCATGGTGGTCTTAGTTGAGTAAAGACTAGAGATATTATCTCAATAAAAATACTCATCTTTGGCAGATATTAAATGCATCTGGCTACTATCTTATAGAAAGCCTCTGAGGCAAAGATTTAAGGGGTAAACAGATTCTATCTGTTGACCAGCCTTGTACCCTTTCTTTGCCTATTAGGCTGGCACAGATGTATTTTAATATATTGTTTCCAATTTAGGATGCTAAATGCTGGATCTTCTTGACTCAATGCATGGGTTTTGCTTGTATCTTTGCTTTTATGACTAGTCAACTCATTCTATTATCTACTAATAAGGGTACAGCTATAAAACTCAGTTTTATGGTTCAGAGGCCGACTGGTAGTCAGGTTTCCCAAACTCTGTGGTAGCTCTCAGAGAGGCTGATTCCATCAACAGCTGAAAAACATCAAAGTATTAACAGTGTCATATTGTGCATGGATGGTGTACCTGTTTGTATATTTGGTGTGCATTGCCAAGGCCACAATTGGAGCCCTTTGTTACGGCTTAGGGTTTATTAATAGTGATGACGCAATTGCTTAGGCTATTAAACAATGTACTGAGTACTATCTATGCTTTGAGTTAAGTTCTTTAACAAATTTAAAAATGAATAAAGTAACAAAAACTATAAAACACAAAAAACCACCAAGTTCTCTAAACCTATCATTCACTAATATTCGTGGTCTTTGAAGTAACTTTTCTTTTGTTGAGTCTTATCTCTTGCAAAGTTCACCAAACCTACTTGCTCTTTGTAAGACTATTTTGAGTTCATCTAGTGATCTTAGTATTGATGGTTATTTTCCTTTAATTTGTAAAGACTCCAATAGTCACAACATTGGCCTGGGCATTTACATTCCTAAGAATTCACCTATTTTGTTGGGGAACTAGGTTTGAATCCACAGTCTATTATTTTATGTGCTTTTGTTTAGCACCAATTTACTCTATCGCCTTTCTCTTTGTTCTATATCGCTCTTCTTTATCTCAAGACTCTTTTTGATGTTATTTCTGATCATATTGACCAAGCCCTCTCTCCTTATTCATCAGCCAATATTGTTGTTATCACTTAAATGCTCATCACACTGAATGGCTTGGCTCTAGTGTTAGCAGGGTTGGCAAAAAAACCCAACCCAAAAAAACCCAACCCAAAAAAACCCAAAAAAGCCCACCTTAAAAAAACCCAATAAAACCCAAAAAAACCCAAAATATATTTGGGTTTTTTAAAAAATGTCCTATTTTACAACTGATAACTTTGATTTTAACACTTATAAATGCTTTATTATCAGCAAGTGCAACCTTTATACTGTAATTACTCTTGTAAACACTGTATTATATACATAATGGTATTTAGAGTATACCCAAAACTGATCAATTTGTTTTTGTAGCAAGTTGGTTATTTATTATTTTTTTTAAACATTTAGCAAGTTATTATAAATGTTATTGAAATATGTATTAAAACATTAAATTAGTTAAATACTTATAAAGGAAATAAAAATCATTCTATTAACTAAATTTCAAGACATTACTAGTTATTTAGTATCTTTATTCTCCTCTCGAATGTCTATATTCCTTTATATTGGTATTTGCTCTTTTATTTTTTAAAGCTTATGTTGTAAACTGCAAATTTCAGTATAAAGCCACAAGCAAAATACTATATATAAAAATTATTAAACTTTATTTACAGTTTAGAAATGGAAAGTTGTCAGGCAAAAAAAAAATGCTACAGTTTACTAGATTTGTCCTTAAGTACATACAACTTTAAAACTTAAAAAAAATTTAGTTAAGTGCAAGCAAGTTTGCAACATGTTTGCTCATTCAATGAGAGAACATGTTGAAAACTTGTATGCATTTCACAAAGACAAGATTTGTTGGTAAAAATGACACTCGTGCTCATCTGTCTTTTGATAGGTTTTAAATATTTTGCATCAGCTACATTTTTACAACATGTACCACCAACAAGGGTGACTATGAACAGCGGGTTTAAAATTAACATCAGTATCAAGTTGCTAAAAGGTGAAGAAACACACACAATAGAGCTGTATAATGTGTTACTTTGATTCAGTTTGCAATTTGCATTGCAAAACTGAGCCGGTAAAACATCTTCAAGGAAAAAAACAAACTTGGTGGCAAAGACACTGTAATGGTTCTTAACAAATTTATTTTACTTTAAGAACAACTAAAGTTTAGGCAAAAATCCATTTTTTGCCAGTCCAGTTGATCAGGTGGATAACTTTTTCAGGAAACTGGACAGTATAATGTTCTTATAAAAAAAAATGTAGTGACTAGGCTAGCAGTTTTCTTCTATGATACAAAAATGTTTAAAAAGTGTTCATAGTCAACTTGATTCATAATAACTTATAAGGTTGCAACATCATGTTGCAAACTTGTTGATTACATGTTGTAAACTTGTGCAAAATAGTTTTTGAAATGATATGTTGAACATGTTAGTAAAAAAAACTAGTTTGCAACATTTATATTGTCTTACTAACTTTAAGTAACTCAATTGTCATAATAATTTTTATACTGATTTTTTTTTAGTCAAAAATATTCTGAACGTATTTTTAATTTAGTGCAATTAATTAACATCATTTATAGTTGATGGAGTCCCTTTTTGCACTATAGGTAAAATGTGCTAGTAGACTAGTAGTAAAACATTTGGCTCGCAACCAGAAGGTTGGGGTTCAAATTACCTCTGCTGAAATTACTGTGCTCAATCTATTTCTGCGCACAGCGTCTTTGTTTAAAAATTTTAGTTGTTAATGTTGTTTGTTAGTAAAAATGGTAATGTTAAGGTTTGAGACAAAATATTTTTAAAAAATGAGTTGCTCCATTGACTGAAGTGGTCATTGGAGCAATAGGAAGGTGAATTTATGAAATTTAAAAAAAAATTATTGTACTCATACAATTATAAAAATTTGGCATTTTGATCGGTTTTTAAAAAAACCCAAAAAACCCATAAAACCCAAAAAAACCCAATAAAACCCAAAAAAACCCATTTGGGTTGGGTTTTTTTAAAAAACCCTGGGTTTTTCCAACCCTGAGTGTTAGTGACTCTACAGGCATTAAAACCCACAACTTTTGCCTTTCTCAACCCTTAACTCAAATAGTCAACTATCCAACTCGTTTTCCAGACAATCTGAATCATTTACCTTCTCTACTCAACTTATGTCTTGTTTCTGATCCTAGTCAGTACTCAGTTTCTCTACATTCCCCCTTAGGTGCTTCTAATTTGTCTACAGTTTGATTTCTCTAAAACTATTATCTTAACCTTCTTCATCATCTGAATCCCCATATGATCGTACCTCTTACAACTACATTTAAGCTGACTGGGACTCTTTCCGTGATATTCTTCTTGAAGGCCTTTGGGTAGAAATCTTTCTGTTGACATATGTTTTTCTTATGTGACTTTGTGGATTCAGGCTGGCATGGAACTTTTTATTCCCTCTTGACAATTCCAGGTCAAGCCTCACTCTTTTCCATGGTTTTTCTCACATTGTGCTGCTGCAATTGCCAATCGAAACCGTTACTTTCATATCTATCCGCAAAACAACTGTCCAGAAAACAGATGTCTGTTTATTACTTCTAGAAACCATTGTAAAAAGGTTTTGTCAAACGCAAAAACCCTCTATTCTCAGGTCATGAAATCTTGTATTTCATCACAAAAATTGGCTCTTCTGGAAAATCTTTATTAGTATTAATAAGAGCAAAACTGTAATTTCACCTCTTTTATATGGTTCAGACTTTGTCACCTCACCTAAAGACAAACCTGAATTGTTTGCTAAAAACTTTTTATCAAAATTATCTCTTGATTCCACTAGTTACGTTCTACCTGATATAGCCGTCAAACAGGTTGATCCATCGCTTGACATTCGTATCACTCCAGCTTCTGTATCTAAAGTGATTTCCTGCTTAGACTCTTCTAAAGCTTGTGGACACTACACCTGTTATAATCTTGCAAAAGTGTTCTCCTGAGCTATCGTCTATACTTTCAAAACTATTCAACAAGTGTTTATCAGAGTCATGCTTTCCAGCCTGCTGGGATGCGGCATCTGCTATCTCTATTTTCAAAAAATCTGGAGAGAGATCTGATTCATCTAAGTACCACCTCATTAGTCTTCTTCCTGTCATAAGCAAGGTTTTTGAATCTTTAATTAACAAACATTTAATCTCTCATCTTGAATCTAATAACTTTCTGATCCTAAATATGGATTTCGATCTTCTTGTTCTACAGATGATTTGCTAACAGTAATAACCAATAAGTTTTATCATGCATTAGGTAAAGGTGGAGAGGTTAAGGCCATCGTTCTTAATATTTCTAAAGCTTTTGATAAAGTTTGGCATGCTGGTCTTCTCCATAAACTTTCTTCTTACAATGTATCTGGTAACATTTTTAAGATTATTGAATCCTTACTTTCCAATCATAGTATAAAAATTTTCCTCGATGGACAGCACTCTTTGTCTTATTCTGTAACTTCAGGGGTTCCTCAAGGTTCAATCCTTGGCCCTATACTCTTTTTAATTTACATTAAAAATCTTCCAGATATTCTCACATCTAAGGTGGCATTGTTTGCTGATGATGCTACCATTTATTATTGTCATAATAAGAAGCCGACACTCATCGATTGCTTGGAGGGGGCATTTGATCTTGAAAAGCTTAAATGCCCCTTCCAAGCAATCAGAAAGTGTCAGCTTCTGCTCTCACTTCTGCTACAGCATGGGGCTTACAGTGGCTGGTGAACTTTAATTCAGATAAAACTCAATTCTTTTTAGCCAATGGTTATTGCAATAATTTAGATCTTCCTCTATTTATGAACAGTAATGTACTTGATGAGTCATCTACCCTTCATCCTTTAGGATTAACTCTTGCTTCTGATCTTTCTTTGAAACCATATATCAAATCCGTTGCAAAATTCATCTTGCTAAATTTGCATCCGTTGCATCTGCTAAATTTGCATTTCTTTATCGAGCTCAACAATTTCTTACTCCAGATTCTATTCTCTATCTCATTAAATCTCAAATCCAGCCTTGTATGGAATACTGTTGCCATATCTGGGGCAGATCTTCTAATGATGACCTTTCTCTTTTAGAAAATATGGAAAAACGCATTGTAAACATAGTTGGACCTGCTCTTGCAGCCAACCTTCAACCATTATCACATCGTCGCAAATGTTACTTCTCTTTCTCTTTTCTACAAATATTATAATGGGCACTGCTCTAAAGAGCAAGCGTCTCTTGCGCCATCTACTAAAATTCATTCTCATGTTACTCATCATTCAATTAAGTCCAACTCTTTTTCTGTGACTGTTCCTAAGTGTTCTAAAAACTCTTTATCCTCTAGTTTTTTTCCTCAAACATCAGTTCTTTGGAATTCGCTTCTTTTATCTTGCTTTCCTGATTCATATAATTTGCAATCCTTTAAGTCGTCTATCAATTGTTATTTTGCTCTACAATCTTCATCTTTTCTCTTCCAGTAACTACTAACTCTAATTAGTGGTTGCTTGCAGCCATGTTGGAAGCGAAGATGTTAAAAAAAAATAATTAAAAAAAATAATAGAAAAAAAATCAGCTGCATAATTTTTTATACCTGATCAATTTTTGTACTATTTTCTTTTTGCATAATTGATATTGCACGTTTAGCAGCAGCATCATGTGCAGACAATTTATCAATGGTATCATTAGTAATACACTTTTGTTGCAATAATTCTTTCTCAAGATTTTCTATAGTTTTCTTTAGTATTTGTGTTGATTCTTTTTCTGTAAACTCCTCTGTATTTACTTGTGTGACTAAGCTTAAGTAAATATAAAAATATGTATACTATTATGTAATATTATGTAATAAATATTATTATATATATAAACATGTAAATATATATATATATATATATATATATATATAATATATATATATATATATATAAATGGTAGTGGTGTAGTGGTGTAGTGGTACATGCGGTAGTGGTGTAGTGGTAGAGCGCTCGCTTCATAAACGAGTGGTTCCGAGTTCGATCCCCACCACATCCCTGATAGTACCGCACTCAACTTGTTTCTCCGCGCAGCGGCCTTGTTCATCAAGATTCGTGTTTCGGAGTTATAGAGTTGAGAGAGGGTTATAACCACAAATAAGTAGCCTCCTCGTCTGTAGTAGCCTTCTCGGCCTTGAGGAGGTGAATTAAAAATATATATATATGTATATATACCAGGCCTTGTTAAGAAGCGTTTCCCTATTTGAATTTTACATATGTATTCACGATTTCACATTGACGAAGGGTTTAGGATGGCGCAGCAATCTTTTCTTTCATTATTCTTTTTTTTTTTTCTTCTTTTTTTTGAAAAATCAAAGCAGACTTTTTTATGTTTAAACCAGACCAGAAAAAGTTTAAAAACTTAATTTTTTTTTTTTTTTTTAATGATAGACTGCCTGGCCAAACCAAATGCTCCGTCGATGTAGCAGCACTCTCTTGCGAGTCAGGCTATTTGTCAGTCGTTGTAGCAGCACTCCGTTGCGAGTCAGGCTATTTGTCAGTCGATGTAGCAGCACTCCCTTGCTAGTCAGGCTATTTGTCAGTCGATGTAGCAGCACTCCGTTGCGAGTCAGGCTATAAGATAGTCAATGTAGAAACACTCCCTTGTAGCAGCATATATGTATATATATATATATATATAAATATATATATATATATATATATATATATATATATATATATATATATATATATATATATACATATATATATATATATGTATGTATATATATATAAATATGTATATATATATATATATATATATATATATATATATATATATATATATATATATATATATATATATATATATATATATATATATATATATATATATATATGATATATATATATATATATATACATAAAAATAAATAAATATATATAAATATGATATATATATATAATATGATTTATATATATATATATATATATATATATATATATATATATATATATATATTATATATTTAAACAATATAAAATGTATTCTACAAAAAGAGTGCTAAATGTTCTTAAAAGAACAGAGCATTTACAAATTAGTAGAAAATCACTTAGCAAAATTGCAAAATTTTTTCTTATTTAATACTGTGTTTCATCAATAAAGACTCGTCAGAAAATTTTCTGCTGAGTCTTTATTGATGAAACACAGTGTTAAATGAGAAAAAATTTTGCTAAGTGATTTTCTACTAATTTATATATATATATATATATATATATATATATATATATATATATATATATATATATATATATATATATATATATATATATATATATATATATATATATATATATATATATATATATATATATATATATATATATATATATATATATATATATATGATATATATCTTTATATATATATACATACATATATATATATATATCATATATATATCATATATATATATATATATATAAATATATATATATATATATAAATATATATATATATATATATCATATATGTAAATATATATATATATATATATATATATATATATATATATATATATATATATATATATATATATATATATATATATATATATATAATATATGGATATAAAATATGGATATATAGATATAAAATACACTTATACAAATAATTTTAAATGTTTTTAAAAATGTTCTTAAAAGATCAGAGTATAGTGCAGTCAATTGATGACAAATTTATGTTTTTGTGCTATTTTGGATAAAACCATAAAACTTGGACTACAAGTTGATAATATTGAAATACTCATTTTAAGACTCAGACCCACTTCCAAAATGGCTCCACCTGTCTCCGTGATAACTAGATCATGTCTGTAGCAACAAACTGACATTTATCCATCAATTGAAAGCTCATTAAAATTACAGCAAAAAATATTAAAACACATGATGTTAAAAATAAATTGGTAACAAGTAGCAGGGCTTTAAAGACATAAAGGTCAAGGGGTAAAAGCGTTATATTTTTCTACCAAATTGTATCTTTGACTTATAATTACATCTTCTTATGACACAAATAGTTTAACTATAATAAAAATTTAATAAATATTTTTCAGAATAATACTAAAATACTCAATTTTAAATTTTAATAAATACTAAAAACACAATGTTACATATAAAAAGTTACCCCTTGAAATTTTACTTAAACTTTTAAAACCCATCATTTAAAACTTTTGGTAAATTATAAATTTGATGCTCACAATCACCACAACACTTGCAAAATGCAGTGTATGGAAGTAATGCTTTTACACATTTAAAATGACATCTACAGCCTTTCTTTATTGCAACCACATCGAGTAAGTTCATTGCACATTTTGGAAGCTCTTAGAATCATTGTTCAAACAATTTCTTAAATATTGTCTTTCATAATTAAATTTCACTCACATGTTTTAGGCAATGATGCATTCTTATAGAATGATTATGCCCAGCAATACAAAGCCTGGTAAACAGCTCTGGAGATATGCAGTTGTATAGAATCTATTGGAGAGGATTTTTTTTTTCATTTATTTATACTACTGTAAGTACTTGTATCATATAATAGCACAATAAAGTCATATAATAGCACAACAAATCTTTAAATTAAGTGGAAAATACTGATGCTCTCATTAGTTGAGGGAAAATTAAAAACCAATTGTAAGGCGTTAAAGATATCTTCAAGTTTTCACAAGTTTTTCAGAAAAGTTTTTTTTCCACCATAAAATGAGACTTGATCACAACCTATTATTGCGTGAAATAGAGGTAAATATTGCTGTTTTGAGTCAAGACAATTTACAAGATCATGCTGTAAAATGAAGCATTGCTTCTCGCCAGTACCAAACCATATCCATATCATAAATCATTTGTAATACTGCAGCTTATGAAAAAGTCCTAAAGTTAAGATTAAAAAACTTAATATTAAGATGGTTTGGAAGAAAGTCTTACATTATTTCTAAATTTATTTTGGATGTAAGTTCCCAAAAGAAGTTGTTTAAACAGACGTAGTAATAGTTTTCCTGCTTCTGGTCTATCATTAGAATTTTAAACTGGTCGAATCACAGTGTATGAATCAGGAAGGTTTGATAATTTTTTATTTTAGAAAACTCTAAAGTAGAAATTTCAAGATCTGACCCAACTTTCTCCAAACCTCGGAATTAAGTTCGGCATTCAGCTTTTGTATTGTTTTTAATAACTTTCTTGCTAACAAAATGGCAAAAATATGAAAATAAGCATATATAATGTTGTTTTTTTGATGCTGAATTCAATATATGAACTTAAAATACTGAAATATAAAAGAGACATGCTTATAAGTTAATAAAACAACTAGTTTCTATAAACCAACTTTGGGGCCCAATATCTCAAAACACCCTCATCAATTTTTTTTTATTTTTTGCTGTTAATATTTTCAGCTGCTTATAATCTTATTAGGCACAAAATATCAAACTGGAAAAACAACTGAAACATATGGAACTTTAATTTCAAAAATGTATTACTTTTTCAAGAAATTCCCCAAAAATATTTGTAAATAAAATAAAAATAAGTGAATTGTAATTTAAAAAGGTACTTAAATATACAAGACTTTTTAAAGGTATTGAAGATGAAAGTTATTTTGACTGTGTTTGTAATAGTTCACAATATTGCTCCCATTTTACTTGTACTTCTTCTATTTCAGCATTTTCAAACATATAGTTTCTACGGTAACTAAAGCAAGCTTGTGGAAAAGAAAGTTTTTCAATATGTTAGTGTTGGGAATAAAAAAGGAGTCGTCACTTTCAGGCCATTTAAAACAGATTGATGGCCCTTTTGGGTGAAGTAACTTAACTTTAGCATCAACTTTTTCTAGGTTGGTTTCAGTTACAATGCTGATTCACTACTTATCATCATAGACTACAGCTACATAACTTCCTATGGTGACAGTATCAAGTTGAAACATATCTTGTTTCTGTGATTGTGGATTGTGTATTATTGTATAATTACTGTCCGTACTACACCTCCTCACCCCAATCCTGTTATCTCCAAGATGTATAAATTGATGAAAGCTACGAGTACCAGGTAGAGTTGTTACACCAGTGTACCTTTCTTTTTGTTCTTCACGTTGCAATTGTAAGTCCATTCTCTTTATGTAAATGAAGTTAACAACCTTGATAGCTTCTAATGTGAGAACTTGGTTTCTGTAGGGTCGTTTTAAACTTTGTTGCACTGTTAATCATTTTACAGTACCCCCAATCCCATTGCATGGTGACTCTCCGTGGGATGTGGCAAAAAAGTTCCATTTAACTTTAAGGACAAATTCACTACTCTGTACTGTCCTGCGCAACCATCAGTGAATAAATGTAATTTGGACAGATTGGAAAATTTGTATGATTAGTTAAAATTTGTATGATTAGTTAAAATTTAAAAAAGATTGGTATGATTAGTTAAAATATTTGGTACACATAAGTTACATCATGTGTAATGTCATCTGATATAAAACAGTAAGAAATATGTTTTAGTACACCTTTACCATCTTTATAGCATAACACTAATGGATGTAAAGAACATTGTTGGGTGTTCCAACAATAGATTTGTATTTCATCTTGGACTACAAAAAGTATAATTTTCAGCAAAGTCGCCAATAATGATAATGTTTGATTGATCCATATTTTGTTTTGGTTGGTTAAGGTACTGTGATTGAGAGTGAACAATAAAAGAATGAACTAGTAGCTTTTCAAAGCAAGATACTAATAGTTTAACAAATGTTGGAACATCTGCTGTTAAACTCAATAGTGTTGCACGATCAGTAGTTTGCCATTGCTTGT